CTGGGGCCATTTGAAGAGCTCCCTTACCCTCCCCCTCTGGAGTGCAATGGGAGCTCCCAATAATTCAAGGATTCTGAAAACGGGTACTGCAAAGAATGACTGAAGAGATCATGGATCCTAAGGATTTGAGGTTGGGGTGCAGGCTTGAAGGCACACCACCAGCTTAGAGATTTGAGTAGTCAACTTCCATTCCTTTCAAGAGAGTATGCTAATCTCTGAGATATGGATAGTCTGATATGGGCCACCTCAGTCTCTCCTGTTGAACCTGTTCCACTTTGGTTAACTACTTAAGATAGAGCAAGGGTGCATGAATGACTGTGTAACCTGGTGATTAAGGTACCCAGGTAGGAGACCCAGCATCCAGTCTTCCCGCTCCAATGACTCTTTATTTATATACAGTAGAACAGCTTCTGCAGGAGAGATTGAGCCCCCCTCCCCACATCAGAATATTCTCTAGCTCAGTAGAGCACACTGCTGAAATATGTGGGAGAGCCCTGCTCAGATCCTTTCTACCCATCAGGTGGAGGGGGAAAGTGAACCTGGGTCTCCCACATCCCATGTGAGTGATCTCACTCCTGGGCTAAAAGCTATAAGGTGGATGATGGCACCACATCCCCCTCCAGTCAGATTTTAATGGGATCCCAGAGGCCGCCTTTGAGCACACCTACCAGACTAGATCCCATGGGTGAGATAGGCAGAAGAGTACCTATCTCCCACTTCATGGGTCACGCTGGGGTTAGGTGGGAGATTAGGTGTCCAGACACCTAGACTGAGGCAGCAGTGTGCATGCCCAGAGACAGAAACTTTCACACCTAAGGAACTTTTACAGTGGAACTGTGGCTGTGGACTCCGATGGAGTGAGTTAAGGTGCCAGCAGGGTTAGGTGGCAGCTAAGCAGAGGTTTGTGGATTGTAGTGGTGCCTAAAACTGGGACATAGGGGCCTAAATACCTTTGTGGATCTGGGCCTCTGTCCCTTTGCAAATGTTGCAATGCCTTGTACTTCCAGTTGCAGTTCCACCCTAACCAATAGCAAAGGGTGAGCAATAGAGAAGGGCACAGTTAATACTGATAAGTGGCCTTACGGAAAATCTGCTTCCATTTCCCTAAGCTGTGGAAGGAGTGGAGGACTGGAACATCCTTGAAATCTTTCTGGTTTACTTCTGCAAATAAATGTGATTTATCTCATTCATTTTACAGTTTTCAGAGTAGCAGCCGTGTTAGTCTGTATCCGCAAAAAGAACAGGAGTACTTGTGGCACCTTAGAGACTAACAAATTTATTAGAGCATAAGCTTTCGTGGACTACAGCCCACTTCTTCGGATGCATATAGAATGGAACATATATTGAGGAGATATCTTCTATATGCATCCGAAGAAGTGGGCTGTAGTCCACGAAAGCTTATGCTCTAATAAATTTGTTAGTCTCTAAGGTGCCACAAGTACTCCTGTTCTTCATTTTACAGTGTAGCATCCCAGATGGGTCTCACAGCAGAGAGATTACCTGGTGACTTGTACTGATATTATTTTTACCTTAAGTCTTACCCTTTGCTTTGCCTTCAAGAAGGGTGATATACATAAAGACCGAACAAAAGAGAAGAGGGGAAGTGCATAGGTTCTACAGGGAGGGGCTGTATAGAAAACCCCTAGACAAATAGTCCCCTCTGCTCTGAGTGTGCCCCTAGTGCTTTCCAGGACTTGTGTGTTTATATTGATGAGATGTAGCTGATGTAATATTCACTTGAAGGTTAAATTACTACTAATTAACTTTAATTCAGTCAGCTAATCAATAGAACATCCCTCAGTTCTTCATCTATCCACAGAATTCGCACAGCAAATCATTGGCTACACTCTGCTTTCAGATTCATTCCAAGGCAATTCCAAACCAAGACTCATGTTTTCTGTACATCCCAAGTTTCTGTTTTACTCCAGATGGCGGTGACTGGAATTTTGTTGCCTCCCTCCCATGCTTAGTAGTAATCCCTGCTACAAAATGCTTTCTAGAGCAGAGGTTTTCAACTTTTTTGTTCTTTCTGAGCCCCCCTCCCCAACATGCTATAAAAACTCCACGGCCCACCTGTGCCAAAATAACTGGTTTTCTGCATATAAAAACTAGGGCTGGTGTTAGGGGGTAGCAAGCAGGGCAATTGCCTGGGGCCCCATGCCACAGGGCCCCCCACAAAGCTACATTGGTCAGGCTTCAGTCTCGGGTGGCAGGGCTCAGGCACCTGGGCTTCAGCCCCATGCAATGAGGCTTTGGCTTTCTTGCCTGGGCCCCAGCGAGTCTAATGCTGGCCTGCTTGGAGGCCCCCTGAAATCTGCTCGAGACCCCTTAGTAGGCCCCAGTCCTCTGGTTGAGAGCCACTGTTCTAGAGGCTCCAGTCTACATCTCTTAGCTCTTCAAGTGTCCTGTGATCCCGGGCATGTGGTGAAACATCAAGCAGATCTGGAGGTGTTGTCTCTAAATGGATTTAACTACCCAAACCCTGTTTATTGAATAAAATTTGTGACCTGACTGGGAGGAAAAAAACAATGAGTCTCATGTCCTGTAAGAAACAAAGTGGTTTTTTTTAACCAATTGGAAAAAAGACAAAGCCAAAATCACACAAGGAATTATCTGTTGCACTGACTTTATGGATGACTTGTTCTTGTGCTATTTCTTCTGGCCATAGGTAAAGACCTAGTTATCGTCCGCATTTATCAGGTACACCATTTTAGTGTAACTGTTTTAAAGTAGGATAGAGACCCTTTTTCATCTGATTCAGACAATAACTCATTGATTCCAAGAGGGCCTTTGTCCTGTAATTATTTAGTACACAATTTAATGTCATTAAACATCTTTGAGTGGACAGAATTGCTCTAAAAGCCTTAGCTCCAGAGCTCTAATATTAGTCTCTTGGCATCCATCCCTGTGTGTGAAAAGCAGTCAGTTTGTTTACCAGGAATTCAGACTCACATTACAGGGGGAATTAGCAGCAAGCTATTAGTCTGATTCATGCACTTAACAATTACTGATCATCTCCTCCTAGTCTGTGGGTAATGGAAGTGATCAGCTGCAAATGGAAAGGATGTGGGGCTATTTTCATGCAGGCATTGGGGACAAAGCACTGTACAGTGTGACCTCTGCTAACCCTGGGGTTTGCAAAAAACCCAAACAGCAAATCACTTCCTGGAGAAGAACTAAGTAACCTATAAGAAGAGCTTCCATTAGAGACAAAACTAAGCTCAGACTCAGAGTCTATCAATTGAACAAAAGTTCCACCCTTGAGTCCCAGAGGCAACAGTAATTAGCTACTGATTATATTTACCACTCTCTGCTTCTGCATGGGAAGTAAGAGCAGGATAACACCTATTTGTTCCTCTGCAGAAATTTTGATTGTCCCTTGGGAGTCCAGCTGTGGGGTGACCACTTTGGCCCAGATTCTTAAATTTATTTAGGTTCCTAATTTCCATGGATTTCATTGGAAGTTTGGAACCTAAATACCTTTGAGGAGCTGGGCCTCTGTTCCTAGAGCAGTCTTCAAAGGGCTGTTCTCAGAATACATAGATTCTGCAGGGATTACTCTGAAAGATCCCTTCCTTTCTAGCAGCTTTGTAGTTGCTTGTTGTTTTTAGGTTTTGCTAGTGAGGGGAGGCCCTTCATCTCTTCCCTGAATCTTAAAGCTGCAATGTTATCCCACCTGTCTCAAATTCTCTGACACTGTCAGCATGTTTCAAGTGTGGGGAGAGAACATAAAAATTGGGATTTATTGTCTGAACTGAAGTTTAGCTTCAGTTGCTTTTTCATATCCATATGATGCTGATCCTGGCTACTGTTTAAAGAGAAATTGCAGTCACGTATAGCTTGCGTTGATACTCCTGTGTGATCAAACGGATTGAGCACAGGTTTAATAATCTAGGGCTTCCAAATAGCAGGCCCATCTCTGGCACCAACTCACTGTATGGCTTATGTCTCTGTCTGTTTCCTCACCTTTAAAATTGGAATAACAGCGTACCTAACTCACAGGGTGATTGTGAGGCGAGAGGTGTATGTGAAGAGAGAGAGAAACAGTATTTATAAGTAAATATTAAATTAAACCACATGAAGGGAATTTTTAAAAAGCTTTTAGAAATCTCCGGCACTGCTTCATCTCCATGACTGATGCTGGGGTGGCTATCAGTGACAGCTGCCATTGCCCTGAGACTTCCTGGCAGGATCTCCTGTCTGATGCTGTAGGTTCCTTTACCTCGATCATCCCCATGGTACTTGAGTGGAGCAGGACATAGGGAATGAATGCAAAGGAAACCAACAGCCTTTCAGAGTTGGAAGGTAAAATTTTCTTTACTATAGATGTTTTGGGTTTATCTTACATTTTAAAAAATTAATAGAATTTACATTATAACATCTTAGAAAGCTTCCTCCTTTCTCTGCATTTGATGTAAATCCTGTGCTAGGACTGGCAGAATGGAGAGTTTCTATTAAATTGTTATTCTTGCAATTATATTTAAGACACATTATGGTATCTTTAATGATCTCTATTGCACTGCCCTTTTCATTTAAGCAGGAGTCAGAGTTGTGCTAACTCCATATGTAGTCAAGAGATGGCGCCAGATTCTGATCAGTTACATCTGAGTAAATCTGGAATTATGCCAGTGACATCAGAGAACTAATCAGGAGTCAACCTCATGACTGTGTCACTGCAACTTCTACTAAAATAAGACATTTGAAAAGCTTATGGGACATTCTTATCTATCTTAAATGATTAAACAGTAGCTGAATCAGGGTTAGTCGCTGAAAATTGGGTTAAGTAAGAAACATTTACTCTACAACTTTGAAAATAAATCTGATTTCCTTTTATGCAAATAGCTCTGTGTACATGTGGATGTGAATGTACAGGTGTGTAGAGAAGTAGGGTTGTGTGCACACATGCAGGTGAATAGATGTGAGAGGCAGGGGTGTGTATGGAGGTAAATACAAGGAGAGAGAAGATTGAAGCAAAAAACGCCAGTTGGGATTTCTCTAAGTTTTTGATTAAAGCAGGATTTATTTAACTTTGAAGCACCTGCCCCAGTATGAGCCAAGCATTGGTCCTGGATGTTCAGGACATGAGTTTGCAGTCTCAATCAGTGAGCCAGCCATTGGAGATGGAAGGCTAGAGTCCCAGTGGCACACTGTATATAACAAACAAAATGACAACTCTGTTTATAGTGTTGGCTCTAAGCTGCCCAGATCAAACCAAACACCTGCCTTTGTGAGAGCACTGTGCATCGGAGATAGCAGGGAAGTGGAATTTGGGAAAGCATATAGGTCTAGATCCAAAAAGGGATTTAGGTACCTAACTCCCATTGATTTAGGTACCTAAATATCTTTGAGGGTCCAGTCCATAATGCTGAGGAGAGAGGGGGATGGCTACTATGGGGAACACATCATGTAGGGGCTGGAAAAGAGGATACAGAGTACTCAGGGAACATTGCATAGGGGCTTGCTAGCCCCACATTCCTCTGAACTCCTGGCATCTGTTTTATGCATGCTGTGGGGCACTGGGACAGCAACCTCTTCTCCTCCCACCACCAATCTTTGGAGATGGCAACTCCTGCTATACTGTAATAAGGAAGTTTCCAGGGAACTGCCAGCCCCAGCATGTCAGTGTCCAACCAGTGCATGGCCAAATGGAGCCCAGGGAATCCTATAACATGGCCTTCCTCAGCTTGATAATGGAGGTGTAGGAAGCACATGGGGGTCCATGCTCCCTCTTGATCCAAGCAGCCAGGTGCCAGTGCTAGTGGGACATCTTGTCATCTGTAGATCAGCCCTCTCTGTTAATGATGGCAGTGGCTGTGACCTTCTCCACTGTATGGAAATTAGGTGCAGCCCCTCTGCTGGGCAGTGTGGTGTCCCTGCTTCTTGCAGCAGCAGGAAAAAGTAATGCCTCAGTGAGTGGGCACAGAGAAGACTGGGATTCAAAGTGGAAATATTACCACTACTGAAGGACCGTTCAGAGGTGCAGTGGAGAGACGTAATTTGTGCATCCTACAGGGCCGGGCGGGGGGGGAGGGGGGGGCGAAGTGGGGCAGTTTGCCCCTGGCCCCGCAGGGGCCTCCATGAGAATATAGTATTCTATAGTATTGCAACTTTTTTTATGGAAGGGGCTCCCAAAATTGCTTTGCCTCAGGCCCCCTGAATCCTGGGTGGCCCTGCATCCAGAGATGAGGGATGCTGTGGTATTCAGGCATCTGGCAAGTGACACAACACAATGATTCCCTTCCTGAGGGACAGGAAGGAATGGAACACAGGGATCAGTAGAGACATCTGACAGCTGCACATCCATTCCAGGAGCATAACATTTGCCCAGCTTCATTGTTTCTTCCAAAGCCACACACCACCTGTGTGCAGAGGAGCTGCTCCGAGTTGGTCTGCCAGCTCTCCTGAAAACATAAGCTTCTCTGATAAGGCAGTTCTTTCATACAATTGATTGTGGACTATTAACCTGCACTCAGAAATCAATATTCACTTGAACACCACATTTTTACAGGCCACTGCAGCGCAACAGAATAGTAGTTACACAACACACATGTTTACACCCAGAATAAATAGGTCATAAAATGGAACCTGACAGAGAGGAGGGAGACTGTGGAGGGGGCAAAGGGGTATGTGAAAGGACACTAGGTCACTGCAGCTGTCTGAGGTCTCTGCACTGCAAATCAGCACAGTATGTCCCTAGGGAGCTGTGGTGGGTACAGCTGAACAAGCCTGCATGCTTTCTCCTAGAAGTCCTAGAAAAGCGTGGCCTAGCCAGGCAGTGTCATGGAATGCTGGACAAGGTTTAATGGGACTGAGTGAAGAAATCGAGCTGAAATCCAAGGCTACATCTCTTGCTAGCACTAAGAGTGGAAGATATGGATGGCTGAAAGGGACAAGAAACAAGAGCAGAGGCCAGAGCCCAGCTTCTTTGCTTTGGCTTTGGGGCGGTTTTCTTTTACAGGCTTAAAATAATGGATTTGAAAAATGATCAAAAGGATCCTGACCAGAACCCAGAGCTGGTATTTACAGAGTGTCTGGGTCAGTTTGCCCTGCCCTGCCCTGCTCTCAGGATACCATAGAGGTAGGTCTCTGCCCCCTGGGGCACCAGTCTGGTGCTTTCTGCTCTAGAGGAAAAGCACCAATTGGCCAGGTGGAGGAGTGTCCTGCAGGAGCCTCTCCTTCTCCTTCATTCAAAAGGCAAACGCTGTTTGGACAGAATTTTGACTAGCTTTGTGTTTACAAACAAACAAAATAGTGCCCTAAAGTCTCCCAGTGGGCTACTCTTCCTCTTGCAGTGCTAGGAGGGGGGGAGAAGATAGTGTTGGAGAACCAGCCCCTGCAGTTCTAACTGCCGAAGGAGCTGAGTGAAATGACTCACTCCTAGGAGAAGGATGCAGGCCTTCCTGTTCTGGGGTGAGACTATTCAGTTCCTCTTCTCTGGAGGTCTTCAGTTCCCGAAGGGTGAGTTAGTAGGTCAATATCTGGGTGCAGAGTGAGGAGAATTATGTGGAAGGGACAAATGCCTGTTGTGTCAAGTTAAGGTGGGCTGAGCAGGAGCAACAAGAGCAGCAGGGCCATTGGGGGCCAGGAAACCCCAGCTCCAGAATACACCGAGGAGGCCATGAGCATGCTGTTGTATTCAGAGATGTCTGGCCATGTCTTGGTCTCGGTGACCTGGGAAGGGAAAGGGAGAAATTAATTCAAATTGGATCGAGTTCACTCCGGCCCCTGGCTGCAGGATCTCCCATTCTGAGATTAGCACTGAGGATTTGGGAACCTACCATGCCAAGTAACATGGCTCTCGCCCCTACACACTGGCTCCTCTGCTAACCTCTGGGACAGAGCAACTAGAATAGTGATGGGGAGAGGCTCTGATACATGCACAGCTCCCTCCTTCAGGTGCCCAGAGCTGCTTGTTTCTCTGATGCTAGTTGTGAAGGTAGAAAAGGAATTCATACCTGGCACATTTCTGAAGCAAGAGAAGTGTTGGTGCTGTCCCCCTGGAAGCTCAGGGAAGGCATGTAAAACAATCCTTCCTGCCCCTCCAGAGTTGCCTGGCTCAGATGCATCTGAGACTGAATTGTATTTTCTGCAGGTAGAAGTCAAACAAACATCTAAGAAGGTGCTTTCCTCATTCGCCCCCCTTGGAATATAGCCCTCCCCCGACAGGCTATGTTGGGAAGCTCACATGTTGGGGCTTGTAAGGGTGATTTTGCTTTGGGGAGTGTAAATACTGTATGCAGTGGCATATTACTGTGGGGGGTGTATGTGTGGTTGGATAAAGTACCACAGAACAGATGCAGGGACCAATCTCACATGGTATCTGGGGTGCAGTGGATTGGTCTGAATGGGGTTTTTCCACCTCTACTTTCTGTCATCCTCTGGGGGGGTGTCTGTGTCTGAGGTGGGCCGTGTGAGTGGGCTGAGCTGTTCTAATGGTGGGAGATTTCTCTATATCGTAGCTATAGCTCAGTGGTCGAGCGCATGCTTTGCATAGATGAGGCCACGAGTTCAATACATAGAAAATACATTAATATTAAACAATTATATAGTGATGCTGGTTTCTTTATTTGATGCCCTTTGGAAGCTTTTACAGTCAGAAAATATTTAAATCTTAATAAAGCCCATTGCTGGGATGCCAGAGATGGATAAAGGGAATAGGGGCTCTGGACACAGCTACCACTCACAGCTGGGTTTCACCCAATCTCAGCCAGCAGGATCTGAGAGCTACTGCTGAGCTGCCGGCCCAGTGATATGGTCCGTGCCAAGCTGTGATGGGTCAAATTACTATTTATTTTTTGAGCACCCAGGACTGTACTAAGTGTCTCACAGAGACACCTGGAATCCCAGGCTCTGTCCAGCAAATGAGGGTCAGAGGTAAGGGAAGGTGAGGAAGGACAAGATGATGGCAGTGAGATCATGTGGTTATTCAGTAAGCCATGGATATAGTGTGATGCTGGTTTTCTCTCTTAACCTCTCCTACCCCCTCACTTCTTATAGGTGAGACTTCAGAAGTGAGTCTCTGGGAGGGGCTGAATGTGGCTAGAGAAATGACTTTGTGAACAGATCTGGGGTTAAGGTGTAATGTGGAAGAAAGTTCAGAGATGCCTGTAAGAGCAGAGAAAGGGAGTATCTAGGCTGATGCTAGTGGTGGAATAGAGAGGGTAGGGAAATGCCAAAGGAGAGCAGGTTGGAGCTGTAGGCAGGAGCTGTGTGATGTAGGACCTGGAAAGCAACAAGAGGTTTGAACTTAATTATGCTGAATCTGTGTCCCAAGTTGCTTGTTGTATAGCACTTACTGAGGAATTTGTTGCTAACGAACATGCTGCGTATCTGGTCACACTCCTCCTGCTGGTTGCCACTGTTCTCGCAGGTACACCATAGCGAAACCTTCGTGCTGGAGTTACCAACATAGTTTGGTGTCATGGCTGTACCTGTCCCCAGTCCCCAAGAAATGAGAATCAGGATTTGTTTGTATGAAAGCATTCAGGTGGGCTGGGTGCAGTAACCCTCTGAGCCAGTGAGTAGTACCAGCTACTGCCTCTGACCAGGGCATCACACCATGGCCTTCACACTCGTGCTCTGTGCCTCTAGAGTCCCCTGGACACGCTGCAGGCTAGGGAGGCCCATTCTCTGGGCAGTTTCTATGTACTGTAGCTAAATGATGTTTGCATGTATTACTTTCAATGCATCACAAATTATCACATCTGCCCAGGGAGGAGCTGGGGGGCAGGGAGCCCTCTGCGCCGAGGCGCGTGCAGTCTGGGGGGCAGGGAGCTCTCTGCGCTGAGCCGCGTGCTGTCTTGGGTACTTGAGAAGTCGGGTGCAGGAGGGGCCAGGGAGCCTGCTGCACCCCACCCAAGTGGTCCTAACAATGAAGCACACTGATTACTGCCTATGGGAAGAAAGCTGTAAATGAGAAGATGTGCAGCCGAGTGCAGAGACACTTGTGCCCCTCTCCAGAAACAGGAGCACTGACATGTGGCAGTGATAGGCCCTTCTGCCATAACTTCCAGTTACCCCTGCCAACAAACGGATGGCCTACGGGCTGTTCCCAGATAAACATTGTGCAGCTGCAGCCTGGCTATGCGATACAGTTCAGTGACCATGTTAATACAATGAAGACTTTACAAACAAACAAGGATAGTCTGGAAATGCAGTTAAAGTGCCCACTCATCCCTGGCCTATACAGCTTCATTGTTAGCAGATCCATGTCTATTACAGCTGTCACAGGGAGTGAACCTTGGGATGCCGTGCCAGTTTGGCCACAACCAGCTGTGACGGGGACATCTTAAATCCCATGAATTTGGCAGTGTCCCTGTGGCCTCTAGGAAGGGTTTTGTTGGATATGTCACCAACAATGTCCCATCAGGGCTCAGGCAGCCAAACCATGAGGGAATACAGGTTTAAGGTGTCTGCAACCAGGACCCCTGAGAATGGATGTTCATGTGGATAGTAAAAGGATAAAATGGCCAGTGGCTGGAGTGTCAGGAGTGTCGATATCACACAGGTGGGCAGGACTCTGCTGCTCAGGCACTGCAGGATAAGCACCTTTATAAGAAGCAAGATAGATTTGGTATGTAAATTACGTGTAAGAGACATGGGGGTGATGCTGCTATCTCGTCAATGGAGGGAGAATTGGAGAATATATAGTCTCTGGCCTTGTAGGTGGCATAGGTGTTATGGATGCTAACTGAATTCCTCTTTAGGCTCTGTCTGCACTGGGGAAGGGAAAACACCAACATGGGCCAGGCTCAAGTGTCTTCAATACCATGACCTTAAGCTCAGATAAGATCAGGGCATGGACCTTGCCAGTCCTCAGCTCCATACACCTTCAGGCACACCCTCTTGTCACTCCCCCCATCCCCATGTATGCCTGAGAGCACGCTCCTCATCAAGCCTTCTTATGTCCCCCTTTAGTCACCACTTACCAATCATCCCCATGTAAGCCTTCAGGCACGCAGCATGGTTGTGCTGAGAACAGCCATCTGGGGACAAGCCTGCAGGCTGACAGTTCTGTTGAAAATCAGCCAGTCGGGATCTGTAGGAAGAAGAAGAAGAAGAAGAGCATCAGAGTCAGGACTGCTCTTTTCACTGGGCTAATGACCCTTGCTGACAGACCTACTTGCAGATATGGTCTTTGATACAGGAGTCCAAGAGAAGGAGGCAGTTGGGTTTGATGCTGTCTTGGAAGGAGCACTCAGGGACAATGGTTTTCCGGCGTCGCTCCCCACAGAGCTCATCTTGACATGGACAGAACAGGAGCCTCCTGGTGAAATCCTCAGGGACCTTCTCAAAGAACTGTCGTAGCCTTTTGTGGCACTTACGCTGGTCACAGGTGCCTCCAGACTCTGCCCCATTGGTGCAGCCGGAGGCATAATATGTGCGCAGATGGACACATTTCTTATTCAGGCTGCAGAAGTGAGTTGCTTTCAGGCAGGCATTTCCGCTGTCCCCTGCTAGATGTGAACCTGAAAAGCCAACAGAAACCCAGGGACAGTAAATCCCAGAGGAGATTTCAGGTGTGAGTAGGAGGAGCTGCAGGCTCCTGCAGCCCCTCGAAGAGGGCAGGCTACCATCCCGTTGCGCTGCAATTTAGTGATCACTCAGCAGGGATTCATGGGAAAACGGGAAGGGCATCAGGCAAGCTGACTCTGCTCTGTGCTAGTGTGCTTCAGGCCTAGTCCCAGGGGGTGAGGACACCTGAACGAGTCTTGCTCTTTGGAATGTGGTTTGCAGGGGGGGGGCGAGGAGTGTTTGTGCTTCACAGGCTCACACCTATGTCTGTTATGGCTCACTCGCTGCCTTATGAAGCAGGAGGAGTTACTCCACTTCCTCTGATTGCTGGGGAACAGTGTCTGAAAACAGCATTTAAACCTGGTTCTGGGCCCAGTGAACAGTTTTCAAACATTTGTCCTGCTAGTGAAGAGGACAGTGATAAGAGGAAAAGATTATGTCTAAGGTTATGTAAAGTGGTGGTGAACTCCAGCTGAACATAAAGGTCTATGAAAAGAGTTCAGGGCTTTGTTGGCAACAATGACAAAAAAGTTATTGATGTATCTTTCATGAGATTGATTCAATTCCATTATTTGAACAAATAAAAAGAATTGCTCAATGAAATAAAGCCATATCCTGACACACACTCCTTTTGAGGACAGCAATGAAAGATATGTATGATGAAAAGAGCAGTAAACTGAATGGCACATATGTTGGTTTCTGCCACTGACATTCTAGCAGTTGACTGGAAAAAATTGTGAAACACCATAAGTAACAAAATTATAAAATTATCCCCCTATTCATAAATATTCCTAATTGTTCTTAGTTAAGTTTACAAACTAGAAGGCAACTCAGGGAACACTAGACATAAGAGTGGCCATACTGGGTCCATCTAGCCCAGTATCCTATCTTCCAATAGTGGCCAACGCCAGGTTTCCCAGAGGGAATGAACAGAACAGGGAGTCAAGTGATCCATCCCGTCGCCCATTCCCAGCTTCTGGTTAACAGAGGCTAGGGACACCATCCCTGCCCACCCTGGCTAATAGCCATTGATGGATCTATCCTCCATGATATGGGCAAGCCATAGGAGGTACTAAATCAGAGGTAGGTGCTTTTTTAGTAATGTATCTTTTCTTGTTAGTTGGGATGTCTTATAGAGAAATTGAGGTGCAGAAAATATCAAAGCATAGGGAAGATTTTTTTCTGTCTGGTAATGCTTTTTTGAATAAGTGGATATTGTCCAATGAAGAGGGAATCTCACTTGTGTATTAACTAAACTTTTGATTTTTCTAAACAAGCTAAATGAAAATAAAAATAATGGAGAAAATGCCAATATTTATTGTATCTTAATAGTTTTAAAAAAATCTGGATTAGTCACAAAATGGAAATTGTTAGACTTGTTTCCTTGTTGGGCTTTCCTTGATGCATTTCACTCTTCTGACTCTCTCCCTTTAATCTCTCCTAACCAGTTACCTTTTGGATAGCTTCATCTACGGATCCACCCCACTCTCTGGCATGCTGACACCAAAAGCTCCACCTGTCCATCTCAGGTCCTCTGGAGCCAATATTCCACTGACCAGTTTTAATGGGGGTATTACCTCAAAATATTCTTCCTCTTAATAATCTTCAGCCCAGTAGGTGGCCCCTGAGAAAGGAAGAAAAAGGGGGAAATGCGTACCTGTCATGATCCCTACCTGAAACCAAAGCTGCCAGCTTGTTGTAGTCAATCTTCCAGGGTTCTTCATTTGCTGGATCCTCATAAGGAGAAGTCTCCAAATTGAAATAACCTAGGCAAGGTGAGACACACATTCAGAGAGAGGTGTGGGGGGGGGAACACACTGGAACCAGTTTCTCCTTTTAGAGAGACTTTCATGCACGCACAAAACATATCTGGTTGTACCCACAGGACTGGAGTTCATCCAGAAACGTACTGCTTTACTCAAGAACCAGGCAGAGCCAGCAAGAGCAAACCATGGCCCCAGACCTATCAGAGATACTGGTGTGTTACTAAGCAGCTTTGACATAGGAGTCATTCATTGGCTTCTCTGCGTCCAGGATTAGATCTAGTTTTCATTTGTTCCTTTTCAGTCTCAGCATTCATGAGGATATGTGCACTGTCTCTTTACAACGATAGCAGGGCAGGGGAAAGTTTTAGGCAGAAGCTTTTGACAGTAAAGCAGTGACACAGCAGCTTTCAGGAGAACATTGTTTTTCTCATTTTAATTAATCCCTTGCTCACTGCTGGACAAAAGCAACTTTCTGTTTCTTTAGGTTGCAGCGTAACCTCCCTTCTCACCCCGCCCCTCTCTCTGACCCTCTGTAGTCCTGTTGGTTAGCCTGAGGGTCCAGCCCCAGAATTGTTTCGTGAACATAAACTCACCACCTCATGTCATAAGTTTTAAACCAAATATGAAATCTGTGTCCAAACTTTTTATTATATTAATTTCTTAAACATGTATTGTAAAGCACCAGTGACTCCTCTTCCCCAGGAGGTGGGAGCCCGTGTGATGTGATTGTCCAGCAACCATCTCCAGGATTGGAGAGTGAGCTGTGGCAGAATTCTCCACTGAACCTCCCTCCTGCCCTTGTTGGGGTGTGTATTCATAGTACATAGGTTTGTGGAATTACTAGATAACGTATAAACAAGGATTCCATCTCACCATGTGTGAAGCTGGAGTGAACAGTCCAGTAGATGCGCAGGCAGTGCTTCTGTCTCCTCATGCGGCGGTGACACTTGCAATGCAGTAAAGGGCTGCTTCTGAGGTCTAGCTTTGCATCCCGGCACCTTGCTCTGGCATCAGGACTCAGCAGGAGGAAACGTGTCTTATCAAGGGAGCAGTTTTCCAGAGCCTGGTAGGTGGCATTGCAGGCAGGGTCCATCAGGCAAATCTTCTCAGCTGCTATGCAGTCTCTTGGCAGAGCAAGGAGGCCTCCTGTTCAAGTAGGAAAACAATGGTAGGGCTTCGTTCATTGAGAGAGCCACACAACAATTGTTTCAGTACCATCACTGCAGACTTTCTGTCCTATCTCAGCAAGAACATCTCTGCAAAGGCAGACGTGGGAAAGTTTATTTGATCTGGGTGAGATGGAATCCTCTACCCTTGGTGTAGGACAGGTGGGGAACAAGAGCTCCCTCCCTTTAGAAATGAGAGGAAGGACATCAACAGGAACTCATATTGGTGCAAAGGGATAGCAAGAGATTATATACAAAGCCATTTGCCAGCTTTTTAAAAAAAAACTCCTATGTGTGGCTTGCAATCTTCCAAACCTGATCAGGATCAGGGCTGTTCCGTACTTACATGGGACAGGAGATCCCCAAGGAAAACTCAGGTGCTGCAGGGAGTAGTGTGAGGAGTTCTCCTGTCTGAGTCAGCAGTGAGCCCAGTGCCCCAGCATGGTGCTTAGGGTGCTGTGCTTCTGAGAGTGGTGTGTAAGGGGGCTCATCCCCTCTGAGTCTGTGCTATCCCTACTGACACAGCCTGGAACTAGGTATTAAGACCTGCATTTAAAAAGCCATTTGCAGTACAGAACAACAACTATATTGAACCTACGACACTTATGAACAATGCTACATATTCTTATGGGAATAAATGGTAACCTTAATATTAACTAGAGATATATCAGTATATATACATTTTTTGTATAGGACACTTGTAATATATCTGTCTTCCTATAATGGATGTTAATTGAAATTATTGAATTAACAATGTAGGAGTCTTTGAAACTTGGCAACTTTAGGGCTCTTCCACTTAGAGAGGTATTATTTGAAGTCCCTTCCATCTGTTGGTGTTTTTCTTCTGGAGATTTTTGTGCAGGTTGATTAACTGGCATTGTATTTGCCTCCTTCTCAGGGTCACTTGTGGGAATTCATTACACTGTCATTGTCAGTTTCTACTGTAGCTCCTGTGTGTGAATCTAAGTGGGCCATCTCTTGAGGACAATTGTTCCTTGGTTGTTCTTAGGATACAAGGGTTGTGGCGGTAGAGTTGTCCTTGTACTTCTACCATGTATAGCCTTGGTGCTGCTCTTTGGATACCTGGCTCTCCATCTTATCTTTGTCATTAGGGCTGCTGGTTGTACTGTCTCAAGTTCAGGAAGATCTTTGGCACCTCTCATACTATTTGCTGTCACCACTGTTTAATTTGTTCTGTCACCTTTTCCACTGTTGCTGGCTTCAAAAGTTTATTTGCTGTAGGCAGTAGAGTCTGGTTGCATGACATGTGATGCTGTGCTGGACTGCTGCCCATGCCTTCTAATTTTTCTAGTCATGCTGCCCATGAGTCGCTATCATTCTGCTATGCCTTTTTAGTAGTTTCTTGGCAATTGCGACAGCTGATTCTGCTTTGCCATTAGCCTAGCAGTGATGTAGAGAAAATGTGATGTTGTAAGCTCTTAGGTGCAGTGACTGTCTCTCACTATATCTGTGTACCACCATGCCTAGCAGAATGGGGCTTTGATTTTGATTGGGATCTCGAGGTATTACCATAATATAAATGACAAATATGTTCAAAATCTGATGCTGCTGAAAACAATGTAAATTCCCAACAGCCAAACTGGGTTCCAGTATCTGTAATAACTTCTGGAAGGTGCAAGAAACCCCACCGTAGGCAGATGTGGGGATAATCTGACTCCTATTTCCTAACAGCTAGACATTGGTATAAACTCTGCAGCATGAGATTTTATATTCCTTCTATTTTTTTTTATATTTTATTAAACTCTGGGTGTTCTTGTTATTCATATCAATGTCCAGTGAAGTGATGTGGGTGACCTTCACTTTTGAGATTCCTTGATTCTTATATATAATTGATGCACAAACAATAATTAATCAAATATTAGGTCAAAAGGACAGGTGTTTTATTCTCTCCCTCATTCCACCTCCTGCTATGTGTTTATGAAATTACAGACTGTTGTGATTATGGTGCCACAAATGCGGCATTCAGTCTTCTCCCCCAGATTATGCTGAAGAAAACAATGGTTTGGGAGCAGGAAACCCTTTCTTTAGTAAACACAAACACAGTTGAGAATTATCCAAAGAGGGACAGAAATCCACGAACAACACATGGCAATCAAATGGATTGCATTGTAAGCACCATCAAAAAGTCTTCCCCATATGACAGTGTTGTTGTAGCTGTGTCGGTCCCAGGATATTAGAGAGACAAGGTAGATAATACCTTTTATAGGACCAACTTCTGTTGGTCAGAGAGACAAGCTTTCAAGTGTACAGAGCTCTCATCAGCAGAAGTTGGTCCAATAAAAGATATTATCTCACCCACCCAGAACACCTGCTAGCTATTGGTTTGGCTACCAGCAAAATAGATTGTGTGAGAACATGTGGCACTAGTGGTGATGTTGCAGGTCCCAGTGACTCTTGAAAAGAGGCTGCAGCCACCTCCATCTTCTGTTGTCTCCTCTCAGATCTGCCTCTTCCTCTTGTCTTGGCGGTAGTAGTGGGACTAGGAAGTGTCTCTTTCTCCCAGACCTGGCTCCTCAGGGGCCAGCTTTCAGAGCCATGAGGAGTCTTTTTACTTTGAAAAAAGCAACAGAGAGTCCTGTGGCACCTTTAAGACTAACAGATGTATTGGAGCATAAGCTTTCGTGGGTGAATACCTACTTAGTCTATAAGGTGCCACAGGACTCTCTGTTGCTTTTTACAGATCCAGACTAACACGGCTACCCTCTGATACTTTTTAGTTTGACAGGTTTCAGAGTAGCAGCCGTGTTAGTCTGTGTCCGCAAAAAGAACAGAAGTACTTGTGGCACCTTAGAGACTAACAAATTTATTAGAGCATAAGCTTTCGCGGGCTACTGCCCACTTCTTTGGATGCATATAGAGTGGAACATATATTGAGGGGATATATATATACACATACAGAGAGCATGAACAGGTGGGAGTTGTCAGAGTTGGTAAGACAACTCCCACCTGTTTATGCTCTCTGTATGTGTGTATATATATCTCCTCAATATATGTTCCACTCTATATGCATCCGAAGAAGTGGGCTGTAGTCCACGAAAGCTTATGCTCTAATAAATTTGTTAGTCTTTAAGGTGCCACAAGTACTCCTGTTCTTTTTGCGGACACAGACTAACA